GTGCACCTGTGCTTCAATGTGAAGCTGATCGAACCTGTGTATCATAAAGCATTTCATCAAATGCGAAAAGATTCTTACTGCTCCAGGTTCCGCATAATGTGCTATGGGCCCTGTGGGACTCTTTTTGTTTAAGGAAGCAGCTGCTGCGCATCTTCAGAAGACTCACAGCCAACCCCTCCTTTTTCGCTTCACTTTGGATAGACAACTGGTGTCTCTCCATTCTACAGCGAACGAGAAGTAGAAATGCTTCTGGCGCACAGGTTTAGAGGGAGCAAACCAAAGTCAGAACAAAAAGGAACAAGTCGAACAAGTGACCACTTTGGTCTTGGGCAGCCATCCACCCACCTGCCTTCTTGGATCTTCGCTTGTGCAAATGCACATGTTGGGAGCGCAATGCCTTACACATCTTACACAGGGTGAGGGTGTACCCTGGTGAAAATGGTAAAATTCCAGACAAACATCTTGCAAAAACATGCAAAAACTGCTGAGATCTGCTGAGTCTTCCGGCATGAAGCTTTGCTGCCGCACCACGCCGCCCAGATGAAGCCCAGACCTCCACGTAGGCCTGAGGTCATCGGATGTCATCCGATGTCGGATGTCATTGGTTCATCGGGAAACATCATCGTCACACTGCCACGACTTAGACACGACTTAGACACGACTGGGTCGCTCTGAGAAGTTCTCACCTTGACACGACAAAAAAAGTCCGGACCTGGCTGAGGGAACACCACGCGGTGTCTAGCTCTTGCCTCAGTCTCACTTCGGCATGAATTTTAGCATGGAAAATCCAAACAGCTAAGCGATGCCAATGATTACTGCTAATGGCTTATCACGGGCAAAAAAGCAATATTGCCACATTGGTTCATTCGTTGACGTTGTTTGACCTTTTTGGACCTCTGCCGCCTTTGGAACCAGGAGCCTTCAAAGGTGCTAAGGTTAGCTCTTCTCTTTGTCTGTCCAACTTCTCCAACCTTCTCCAATCTTCTGTCCGCCCGAATCTTGGATCCTAGCTGGGTCAAGAAGCTGGTGTTGAACACGTTGCTCAAGGGAGACAGGAGAAAGGATTTCCGTGCCTGCAAACGTCAAAATGTCCCACAAAAATGTCAATCTCAGGACTGTTACACCTGTACACCTGCTATGACTGATCAAGTCTCCCAAGCAAAATATGCAAAACCATCAGAGAAATTCTGCACCAAAGAAACGATGGTTCGATGTCTCTTCGATGTGTCCCGGGCACCGTCCCGGGCACCTGCCGCAGCTTGTGCCACGCCCGCAGACCGTCTTCGAGCTCGGTCAAAGCAAATCGAGGCGTCGCCAAGGACCTGCACCAGACATGTTACTCTCATTACATACCGTGTTACATACCGTGTTATCGTCTTACTGTGTTACCGGAAACGAAAAGACGAGAAAAACGAAAAAACATCAAAAAAACGAATTAGACTGAAGTTAAAGAGAAAAATAATCAAAAGGATCTAAAGTGCTTCTACATACTACTGTCTCTTTGAGATGTTCCGAAATCCCTCTTTGTGTTTCAAGCATGTTCAGGCTTTGCTCACCAAACCTTTGAAGAACACGCGGCCATCAACGTCTTTACAATTTGTTACAATGCGTTTTACAGCTCTCCACAGTCCCTGCCTTCCCACCCAATGCTTTGCGGATACAGACGCTGTAAAGCACAAGCGCATATCTTCGCGACCATTGAGCCCCCATTTCCTGCACTCCGCGCTTCAAAGCGGCAGAAAGCCAAGCCAAAAGTTTATGTCGAGAAAGGGGATTCAGAAAAAATAAGAAATATATTATATATAAATATACCCTGTCGCGCTGAGGATTGGCCATAACATGATGGCACAAAATGACCGTAGAATACAGACAAGACTGACTTTACTTTGGCTCTCAACATTTCGACGCAACAAATGAACTTAAGGTGCTTCGTTTAGTTTATCGCAAGTTCTCCTTGGTTCTTCCACCAGAGCTTCTCGAAAGAA